ACTGTCCCCAACTTAAGCACAACAACAACTGTCCCCGACTTAAGCACAACAACTGTCCCCGACTTAACTGTCCCCGTCTTAAGCACAACAACTGTCCCCGACTTAAGCACAACAACAACAACTGTCCCCGACTTAAGCACAACAATAACAACTGTCCCCGACTTAAGCACAACAACAACTGTCCCCTATTTAAGCACAACAACAACATATTATAAAGCATTATTTAATGTAATCTTTTATTATTATTATTATTTATATTAAATATTAAAATTTAATAAAAAATTTTATTCATTTTTTAAAATTAAAAATTACACTTGAAAAAAATAATCATATAAATATTATATTAAAATAATTTGTTTGTTTAAAATACAATTAAAGATTAAAAATCTATACATTATACATATAATAAAAAATTTTGATAATATAATTTTGAAAATTATTTATAATTTTAGATTAAAAAATGTAATTTTTTTCAAGTGACTTTATTTAAAGTTTATTTGTTGAAATCTCCCATTTGATCCAATTGTTGTTGATACTTGTTTCCATTAATGACCAATAATTGTGTCATCAATACTATCAGGATTACCACAAAAGCAACCAAATCTTGAATGATTGACATTATTGTTGATTTTATTTATTGTTACCACTGTTTGTATTAATAGTTAAAATTAATTTATTAATACTAATAAAATTATTATTATATATAATTGCTAAAAAAAAATTTACCTTTAAAAAATTTTACTCAATATATATAAACTAGTGATGTGAGTGAGTTGTCAGTTAGTCTTATAATAATATTATACTTTATTATATATATTTTCATAAATATCTGTTTTTTAATTATAAATTTTTGTAACCATATGTTTTTTATAAGTAATTTATTAAATTAAATATATTAATTAATTTTTTACACTTAATTAATTTTTTTATATTTAATTGAATTTTTTACATTTAATTAAATTTTTTTACATTTAATGGAATTTTTTATATTTAATTATTTTTTAAAATTGCTATTACTTTAATAAATTAGGGTTGAGGAAGTAGGGTAAGCATTTAAAAATAAATTACTATATCAAATTATTTTTTTTGAGAAATTTATTTTATTAAACAGTTACCATTTATTATTGGTTATATAACAGTTTTAAAAAGTTAAAATTTTTAAGATAATAAAATTAAAATTATTGTTATATCTTTTTATGAGATTTTTAATAATCATTTTACTCTGAATATTAATAATTAAAATACAATTAAAAATAGTTTATCTCTATTTATAAAAATAATAACCGGGCATTTTTGTTGTTGTCACAAAATATGTCAATTTTATGTTTATTTTGATATTAATTAACAATTCAATATAATTCAATACAAAACAATATTATTGTTGTTAATCTATAAATATATATTAGTATATATTACTTTTTGTTGCTAATTATTTTTCTAATAAAATTATCAATTATTATATTATATTATCAACTGATGACACAATAAGGAATAAATAAATATAAAAACTAACCTAGTATATTTCATATTAGCCATTGGTTGCCATTGTTGTGTAGTTGTATCATATCTTTCCATTGTATTTAAACATTGTTTACCATTTGTACCTCCGATAGCATACATAAGCCCATTGTGTGCTACCAGTGCCAGACCACACCTTTCCTGACTCATTGGTGTTGCAAAAGACCACTCATCAGTATTTGGTAAATAATATTCACATGATTTGTGATAACTGCCTACAAAATTTTTTTAAATTTTTTTTATTAATATTTTAATTGTATTAAATTCTATTTGTAAAAAGTTTTTTATTAAAAAATTAAGTTTATCTAAAATAGTATAATAGAAATATAGTTTGTTTATGTTATTAATTAGTTAAATGTCTACAAATATATGATAACATATTATTTTAATAAATAATATTAAATAAAAAACTGTTCAGAATTATTATAAATTTATGTAATAATATTTAAATATGTTTTATATATATCTTATTATATTGAAAACTATTTTGTTAATCAAATAATGTATTTTAAAAAAAATACACTTACCATCAAAACCACCGCATACGTATATTGTATTTTGTATTACAGTTGCATCATGGTAACTTTGCGAAATTTAATGTTTCATTATTATTATTTTTTTTTAAATTTAAGTAAAATTTTTGTTGTTATAATAATACATTCTTACGATATTAATCGATGCCATAGATGTCCATTGATTTGTTTGTGTATCGTATGTTTCAACACTTTTCAAAATACTATCACTCTTTATATGTATTAATTATTAATGTAATTAATAAATAAATAAATTTAAAAACATTTTATCAAACAAGTTTTTGTTTTTTTTTAATTATGCCTATATAAAACAATAGTTGGCAGTAAACGAGGCAGAATGAAAAATTTTAAATTTATAAAATATTTTTGATTCAGTATAATCAATAAACAATATACTTAAATCTTAAATATAAACCTAAATCTAACTCAAATTTTTTGCTAAAAATGAATTTACTAGTAATTTATTAGACTATTTAATACTAATTGCTAATAGATTATATGTATCTAAACTATACAGTATATAAATTATATAAATATAATAAATGTAAATGTAATACAAATATAAACTATAAACTTATTTACAGATGACATCACCTGCGAATGGTCGGTCATCTGTGGCACCCATTTGGACGAAACAAAGGCCGTGGCCTCGACTACCGATAGACCGGTTTTGGATAATTTGGATATAAATTCAACTTTTATGGCGGACGCACATACTCCTAGAAATATATTATTTATTATAAGTAGAAAAATATTGATTATATTTACAATAAAATATAATTTAAATTTAAATATAGCATAATAATGCTAAATTTAACAAAATTATCTATTGATGAACCGTATAATTAGTCCCTTATACAATATGAGTTATACTAACAATATATATATATATATATACTACCGCTTATAAGGATTTATATAGTATAATGTAGATCAGCCAAGTTTTTACATACACCCCAACCGCCGATTGCATATAACTTTGAATCCATTGAAATCAAACCAAATTCATCCCTTGAAGTGGACATGGATTGTATGGATTGCCAAACATTTGATTGTTGATTATATTTATAACAATCAGACAAAATAGATGCCCCATCATATCCACCGCATATATAGATAAAAGTATTATCCGATAAGTCTATAGATTGCTATAATTTTAAACAAAAACAAAACAGTATAATATTTAATTTATATTAAATACATTTTTTTTATTTAACTATAAATTTACATTATAATCGTTATTATTATTAATAGCTGTTGAATTCAATAAGTAAATATAATTTTCAAAATAGTTAATTACAATTAATAATAAAATGAAATATTTATTAAACATATTTTTAAATTGTTAAATTATTTTTTTTAATCATTAATTCAAAGTAAATCAATATATTTTTAGTTTTAAATATAATAATTTTCCTAAATTTTCATATTTAGCTAATGTTATTGATTTTATATAAAAACTCAAAAAATATATTATCATAATAGTTAAGACAAAGTTTAAGTATTATTAATAGTACTGATAAATAATTTATAAATTTTATGTATTGATTTTTATTTATGATTTTATGAATTAATGTCTAAAATATTAATATATAATTACTAGTATTTACTAATTATTATTAATTTTTATTAATATTATTATTTAAATAATAATTTTGTTATAAGATATTTTATAACTATAATATTTAACTAAATAATTTTTATAAATTTAATTAAAAGTTTCTAAATAAATATATAATAATAATTTTATTTTACTTAAATGTAAGTTTAATTAGTATAAAATAAATATATATAAATTGTTATTACTAAATTTAATTAGTATTATCAATTTCAATTAATACAGTACTTATCGATACTTAATTAAATATAAAATTTTATATTATATGTATATTATCTTTAAAAAATCATAATAGCTTTTGTAGATAATTTTAATTTTTTTTTATTTAGTGATAGCATACTAGTACACTCTGTACTTAAATATATTTTATAAATTAAATATATTTTTAAAAAAATATCTAATCATAAAATGTTAAAAATAAATAATAACATTTTAAATCATATAAAATCAGGGACAAAATAGGCGATACTAATATTTTTATTATATTTCAAACACCTTAGACATGGATATTCAATATGATTTTATGGTCTTTATAAAGTATTATTTTAAGTACTGATAAATTATTTATTAGATTTATGTATTGCTTGTTAAATATAATTATATAAATTAATGTCTAAATTATTAAGATTTTTTAATAGTATTTACTAGTTATTAATAATAAATTAGTTACTACTATTATTAATTATATATTATTTTTTAAATAAAATATTTTATAATTTTACTATCTAACTAAATAATTTCATTAAAAGTTTTTGTTTCTAAATGAGCATATAATAATATTTTTTAATACAATAATTTTATGTAAGTTAAAAGTTTAATTAGTATAAAATAAATATTTATTAATTGTTATTACTAAAATTAATTATTTTTGTCAATTTCATTTAATATTATCGATACTTAGTTTCAGGAAATCAATTTACAAATTTAATTTAATTATAATATTTTTTTGTTAATCTTTGTTTATCTTATTTGTTTGTTTATCTCCTAATCTTTTTGTTTTTAACTTAAATTAATTGTTAGCTCCATATCTAATAGCCATTACTAGCAATAATAGTTCAATACATAATACATAAAACTAGTTTTTTAACCAAATTAGTTTTATAGTAAATAATAATATTAAACTGTATTATAGAGCTACAAAAAATTTTAAAAAGTAATTAATTAAATTTTAATAATTAAAAAAGTTTTATAATTATAAATATATAATCAGAATATTCATGTATTACTAAATAAGTTATTAATTTTACAAAAAAATAAATAATTTTTTTAATTAATTAATTTAAAATAATGTAATATTTATTGAACTTTAAAATTTTTGACAACTTTAGTTATTAGTCTTATACTTTTGTTATAACAGTAGCCTATAAAATAAAATATTATAATTAGAAAAAAATTAACTTAAAAATATCATAAATTATTTTACTCCAAAATATCCAACTTTTATGGGCAATGATGTCGTATAATACCATTGTTTAGACTTATAATCATATATTTCAACTTTATCTGTGTAACCATCTTTGTAAAAGCAAAATTTTGTTTATTAATTTAAATATTTTATTAAATTTTGTATTTGAGTTATTGTTAAACTTAATAATGAATTATGAAGTTCTGAACAATTTAATTAATTTAAACAAATCAGTTAAATGTAATTAAGAAATAATTATTATAAATTTTATAATAATTTTAATAAATTAACTTATAAAAAATTTTGTTATTAATATAATAAATAAAAATTTACCCTTTGTTTCGCCACCCAATGCATATAATTTATCATTAAAAGCAATCAATTTATATCCATATCTTTTTAAAAGCATTGATTCTATAAATAAAATATAAATAAATAATAGTATAATAATTAATTGAATTAATAATAATAATAATACTGTAATAACCAACCAATTTGTGTCCATTGATTTGTTTTCGTATCATATGTTTCGCATGATTTCCCATCACTATTACCATAACCGCCGCAAACATATATTTTATCCATAAATGATGCTGAACCAAAAAAATGTCTTACAATGAATAAAATAATATTAATAAAAATTTTAATGAAATAAAATAATAGTATTTAATAAATATGTTTTTATTTGCTTTTAAATTAACTAGTTATAGAAAATAAACATAGAAATTTTTTTTTTATAAAATTACAATTAGTTTATTTTTAATATTTAACAATAATATATTATCATAAAGTAATTTGATAAATAAATATTAAAACTAACCTAGTATTTTGCATATTAGCCATTGGTTGCCATTGTTGTGTTTTTGTATCATATCTTTCCATTGTATTTAATGAATTTCCATTATAGCCTCCGATAGCATATATAAACCCATTGTTGGCTACCAGTGCCAGACCATGCCTTTCCTGACTCATCGGTTGACCGAAAGACCACTCATCAGTATTTGGTAAATAATATTCACATGATTTGAAATAATTGTCTACAAAAAAATAAAGTAATAAAATAGTTGTGAAATCAAAAAATTATATATAATACACTTATGTTAGTAAAATAAAAATTATTTTGTTTAATCAAATATTTTGTTTATAAATAAATATAACACTTACTATTGTAACCACCACATACATATATTGTATTTTGTATTACAGTTGCATCATGGCCACTTGATGAAATTTAATTTGTTTAATCAATGTTTTTTATGAAAACAATAATATTAATAAAATTATTTAAATTATAAAAATATAGTTATAGTAATACTAGCGTATAATATTCATCGATGCAATTGATTTCCATTGATTTGTTTGTATATCATATGTTTCGACACTATTAAATATATCTTTACCCTTTATATATAAAATTAATTTAAAATTTTTTTATAAATTAATTAATTAAAAAACATTTTTTTTTGCAAAACAAGATTTTTACATACATTATAGCCGCCGATTGCATACAATTTTGAATCGTATGAAACTAAACTAAAATCATACCTCGGAGTGGACATGGATTGTATGGATTGCCAAACACTTGTGTGTGTATTATATTTATAACATACAGTCAAAACAGATGACCCATCACTTCCACCGCATATATAGATAAAACTATCCGATAAGTCAATTGATTGCTATAATTAAAAACAAAAACAAACAACAATATAATAATTAATTTTTAATTAATTAGACTTTTATTGACTATTAAAAAATATATATTTAAATTATTTACATTATAGTCGTTATTATTATTATTATTATAAATAACTGTTGTATTCAATGAGTTAATACTATTTACATAATAGTTAATTACAATTAATAATATAATGTGATATTTATTTAACATTTTTTTAATTGTTAACATTAATTAAAGTAAATTAATATAATTTTAGTTTTAAAAATAATAATTTTTTACTTTTTTGATATTTAGCTAATGTTATTGATTTTATATAAAAACTCTAAAAAATATATTATCAAAATAGTTGTGACAAAGTTTAAGTATTATTTTAAGTACTGATAGATTACTTATAAAATTTATGTATTGCTTATTATTTATTATTGTAGTAATTATTGTTTAAATTATTAATATTTAATTAATAATATTTAATAATTATTTATTATTATTATTACTTTTATATATTTTTAAAATAATTTTATAATTATAATATTTAACTAATTAATTTTTGTAAATTTAATTAAATGCTTTTGTTTTTAAATAAATATGAAATAAAATTTTTTAAAACATTATTATTAAGTAAGCTAAAATTTAATTAGTATAAAATATATATTTATCAATTTTTATTACTAAATCTAATTAGTATTATCAATTTTATTTAATTGTATCAATACTTAATAAAAATATATAATATGTTATTTGTATATTATCTTAAAAAATAGTTTATAATAGTTTTTTTTTGTAGATTAAATTGAATTTTTTTTTAATTTATTGAAATCATATGCTCTGTACTTTTATATTGTATTAATTAAATTTATATTTTTCAAAAATATATAATTATATATTGTAAAGAAAACTAATAACATATAATATAATGTTATCTTATATAGTAAGTTTTGAACTTTATATAATTACCCTGGATAATTTATAAATTTGTTAACATTAAACTGTTTACAGTATATTTTTTTGTAATATCAAATTTAATTTATCATTAGGAAAATCAAAATATGTGTTTCAGTGTAAATTAATTAACAATAAATAAATTAAACATTTTTTTAATTAAATATAATAATTAAAAAGTTTTATAGTTAATTAAGAATTTGATTATATTAATACTATAAAAATATTAAATATCTATTTTTAGTAAAATTTATCTTTTTTTTGTCTCATAATTTTGATATAACTGTTGCCTAAAAAATATAATAAATAATAATTAATAAATAATATATACTGTATATAACTATAAAATAAATGAGAATATATTTTAGTCCAAAAAGCATAGCTTTTATTGGCATTGATTTAGTATACGACCATTGATTTGATTTATAATCATATATTTCAACCGTTTCTATTAGCATATAGTCTATAAGTTTTAAAAAATATATATATTTATTTACAAATCATATCAAATGAATAAATATTATAATTATTATAATAAAGTAATTTATAGCAAATAAATATTATAAATAGTATAATATATAAAAATATATATATACCTTTTGTATAGCCACCCAATGCATATAATTTACTATTAAATGCAATCAATTTAAAACCATATCTTTCTATAAACATTGATGCTATAAAATAAAAAATAAGTTTAATAATTATACTAATTATTATTTAATAATAATAACCAACCAATTGGTGTCCATTGATTTTTTTCGGATCATATGTTTCGCATGATTTCCCATCACTACTACCATAACCGCCGCAAACATATATTTTATCCATAAATGATGCTGAACCAAAAAAGTATCTTTAAAATAATAAAAAAAAATAATATTAAAAAGTCAACTAATTTAGTAATTTTCTTTAAATATGTTTGTTTAGTTGCTTTGATAACTAGTTATTTCAACAAAAATAAACAATCACTTTTTTCAAAAACAAAAAAACACCAATTAGGTTTTATAATAATTACTTAATTATAATGATTATCGTAATTTTATCCATAAATGATTCTGAACCAAAAAAGTATCTTAAAATTTAATAAAAATATATATAAATAATTAAATAAATTAGTAAAATTTATTAAATATGTTTAAATATTAAATTATTAATATAATTAATATAAATATTTTTAATTGTTGTGATAACTAGAAATTTCGAAAAATAAACAATGACATTTTTTTAAAAAACAAAAATAAGCTATTAGATTTTATAATTATAATAATAACCAATTTTTATTATAATCATTATCATAATGTAATTTGATATAAATAAATAAATATTTCTAAACTAACCTTGCATATTTCATATTAGCCATTGGTTGCAATTGTTGTATCCAATCTTTCCATTGTATTTAAAACTACATTTCTATTTGAGCCTCCGATAGCATATAAAAATCCATTGTTGGCTACCAGTGCCAGACCATACCTTTCCTCAATCATTGGTGTCGTAAAATACCACTTATCAGTATTTGGTAAATAATATTCACATGTTTTTAATGTATTGCCTGTAAAATAAAATTACATAAATTTAATATTTTATTGTATTTGTAAAAAAGTTTTTTTTTATTAAAATTTACTAAATAGCTATATGTCTACAAGTATATGATTACTTACCAAAATAAAAAAATTTATCTAAAGTAATATATACTAAAATGTTTTAAATGTCATAGCTATTCATGATATCTCTATTCTATTTAATAATAATATGAAAATTAATAAATTATTTTAATGTTTACTACTACTACTACTACTACTAATAATTGATTAATTAATTTTTAAATAAAATTTTTTTTATTACAACATTAAAACCGCCGATTGCATACAATTTTGCGTCCATTGAAATCAAACTAAACACATCTCTACCAATGGACATGAATTGTATGGATTGCCAAACACTTGTTTGTTGATTATATTTATAACAATCGGGAAAAAAGTTTATCGCCATATCCCATCCCCCGCACATATAAATAAAACCATTGACCGATAAATCAATTGATTGCTAAATAAAAAAACAAAACAAAAAAATAATTATAATTTATATATATATATTTAAATTGTTACATAAATTATAATCATTATTGTTAATTGTAGTTGTATTTAATAAGTAAGTTACAATATATAATAATATAATACAATAATATAATTAAGTACAACAAACAATTAAAAGTAATAGTTATTTAACATTTTTGAAATTAATTATTGTAAATAATTTTTGTTGTTGTTATAAATCAAATTTAGTTGAATCTACTTTTATTTTATAAATTTAATAATGAAAATAATTGATATATTTGAGTTATTTAGTCAATTTTATATAAAAATTTAATAAAAAAAATTATTTCAAAATACTTATAAGTACTGATAATTCATTAATAAACTGTACTTATTGACACATGTGTACTTACTGTATATAATTATATAAATAAAATAAAATTTATATATATATATAATTATAGATTACAAAAATAACTCAATAATAACATTTTAAATAGATTTAATACAATATGTAGTTGTTACTTTAGAATTACCCTGGATAATTTAAAATTTTATCTATACATTGTATTGAGTATATATGCTTGTTAGTAATATAATCATATAAATCAATGTAGAAAAATTTAAAGCACAAATAAATTTAATAAACTTTTTTCTATTATAAACTATATACAGTAAATATATAGATATTAGCTATAAATTATGTTTATAAACTATAGTTTTTTAAACCTAAAATATTGTATTATATAAATAAATAGATTTATATAAAATTAAGATTTTTCAGTTTTTAAAAATACTTATTACTTGAAAGCCATACACTATTTGTATTTTTTTAATCACTTAATTAAATGCCTAATCATGTTATTAGCTTAAAAATGTTAAACTAAATGTTTCTAAATAATACAATTTCAATTAATTATAAATTAATTTTCAAATAATATTTTATTTTGTAAATTAAAAATTAATTTTTGTTCATTGTAATTTTTTAAATAATTTTTTTTAAATATGTACTAATAACAATGTACTTTTTACTTTAATCGGTAAATAACATATTTTTGTTATATAGACTGTAACTAACTAAACAAAATAACTTTACAATTAAATAAAATACATTATTATTATTATTATTATTATTATTATAAAAATAATTTATGTAATCAGCAATTAGGCAATAATTTTAAGTTTTTAATATCACAAATTACTTTTACTATTTTTAATTAGTTTTCCATATAGTTGTCTAAAAATATAAAATATATTAACTAATAATAAAAATTTATTTTATTAAAAATATGTACTAATAAATAATAATATATTTTAAACTTTTAAGCTAAACAAGATAACTTAGTGTACTAGCTATACTAGAAAATTTATATATAGCACCTTTTAAAAGCATTACATAATATTTAACTAAAATTTATAATTTTTCAAACTACATAAAGTGTATTATTTAAGATTATATACTCCATATTATAAACTTTATATTTTATATTGTAGATTGAGACAATTTTTTTAAATTTCAAATTTTATTTATTATTAGTAAAATCAAAATATGTATTTTGAGTATAAATGAATTAACCATAAATAAAATATATTTATTTAAAAAAATTAATAATATAATATAGAATAGTTTTATAGTTAATTAATTAAGATTTTTTGATTATTTTAAAACTATAAAAAAAATACTAAATATACATTTTTTTAGAGATTTTTAATATGTTGGTTTATAATTTTGTTATAACTGTTGCCTAAAAAAATAAATAAATTAAAATTTAATAATTAATAAAAATAATTATATATATATATAACAAATGATAAAATATTTTACCCCAAAGTCTGAAACTTTTATTGGCAATGATTTAGTATACGACCATTGATTTGATTTATAATCATATATTTCAACCGTATCTGTTAGCTTATAGTCTATAAATTTCAAAAAAATATAAATTATTTATATACAAACAAATAAAGCTTAATTCTAAAACTAAATAAAGCTAATTAAAACAAAGAAATAAAAATTTAAAAAAATCTTTCAATTTATCAATTGGACTAAAATTTATTTTAGATAAAGTAATGATTTTCATAAAAACGTGGAAAAATTAAAAAAGAAATTATTATTGATTAATAAAATTATTAATAATAATTAATAATAAAGTAAGTTATTTAGAAAATTATGTTAAAAATAAAATGATATATAAAATATATATGCCTTATAGTCTATAAATTTCAAAAAAAATTATTTATTTACAAATCAAAATATTTTATAAACTTATTTTAAGAACTAAATAATGCTAATTAAAACAAACAAATAAAAATAAATATAATATTAAATTAATAAACTTAACTGAAATTTATTTTTTTTTTAAAATTATTTTAGATAAATTAATAATTTTTATAAAAACGTGAAAAAATTTAAAGAAATTATTATTGATGAATAATAATTACAAATAATAATTAATAATAAAGTAAGCTATTTAGCAAATTATGTTAAAAATAAAATAATATATATAAAATATATATACCATTTGTTTCTCCACCCAATGCATATAATTTATCATTGAATGCAATCAATTTAAATGCATATCTTTCTAAAAGCATTGATGCTATCAAATAAAAATAATTATAAATAATTACACTAATTATTATTTAATAATAACAAACCAATTGGTGTCCATTGATTTGTTTTCGGGTCATATGATTCGCATGATTTCCCATCACTATTACCCCAACCGCCGCAAACATATATTTTATCCATAAATGATGCTGAACCAAAAAAGTATCTTTAAATTTAAAAAAAAATTAATATTAAAAAATTTAAATCAACTAAATTAGTAGTATTTATTAAATATGTTTTATTTTTAATTGCTGTGATAAATAGTTATTTTGAATCACATTTTTTTAAACACCAAAAAATACAAATTAGTTTTTATAATTATAACTATTAATTATAATGATTATCATAATATAATTACTGTAGATATAAATAAATAAATATTTCTAAACTAACCTGGTATAATTCATATTAGCCATTGGTTGCCATTGTTGTGTAGTTGTTTCAAATCTTTCCATTATATTTAAAACAACATTTTCATTATAGCCTCCGATAGCATATATAAACCCATTGTGTGCTACCAGTGCCAGACTAGACCTAACAGTACTCAATGGTGTCGTAAAAGACCACTTATCAGTATTTGGTAAATAATATTCACATGTTTTTAACTGATTGTCTGTAAAATAAAAAAAAATTATATAAATCTAACTATTTCTAGTATATTTATATATAAATATATATTTACACTTACAATCAGAATAACCGCCGCATACATATATTGTATTATTCAATACAGTTGCATCATGGTGACTTTATGAAAAATATAAATGTAATTTATTGAAATAATAAAAAATTTATAATAATAAATTAAAAATTTATTAATTAAAAAAAATATATCTATAAAAATAACCTGCGTATTTTATTCATCGATGCTATAGATTTCCATTGATTTGTTTGCGTATCATATGATTCAACGCTTTTGAAAGAATATCCTTCCTATTAATAATATATGAAATTATATTAATGTTTACTAATAAGAATATTAATTATTAATTAATTAATTAATTTTTTCATAAAAAAAATTTATTATTACATTATTAAACCCTCCGATTGCATACAATTTTGTGTCCATTGAAATCAAACTCAAATCACTTTTCCCAGTAGACATGGATTGTATGGATTGCCAAACACTTGACTGATGATTATATTTATAACAATCGGCAAAAAAATTGATCATTAAGTCCCATCCGCCGCATATATAGATAAAACTATTGTCCGATAAATCAATTGATTGCTTTAATTAAAACAAAAATATAACAATTAGTTTATATTAAATATATTTTATTAAATTAACTATTTTTTATTTAAAAAAATATATTAAAATTGTTACATACATTATAATCATTATTGTTAATTGTAGTTGTATTTAATGTGTAAATACAATTAAGTACAACAAACAATAAAATGTGATAGTTATTTAACATTTTTTATAGTAATTATTGTAAATGATTTTTTTGTTATAAATCAAATTTAGTTGAATCTACTTTTTTTTATAAATTTAATTGTAATAATTTTTTTTAAATATTCATTCAATTTTATATAAAAAACTCAACAACAAAAAAATATTTCAAAATAATTATAACAAATTTTCAGAATTATTATAAGTACTGATAAATTATTAATAAACTGTATTTATTGATTGTTATTTAAGTAATCACTAATTAATCTATAAATTTAATAAACTTAATTAAGCTAGTGTTTCTAACTAAATATATAATAATTATTTTTAAAACTTTTTTTTTATATAGGTTACAAGTTTTATTACCTATAGTATAAAATAAATATTTATCAATTTTTTTATATCTAATATTAAACTTAGTGTAATCAATTTCACATATTGATATCTAAACTTAGTTTTATTAATTATTATTTATTGGTACCGGTAGCATATGTACTTAAATATATTGTATAAATAAAATAACATTTATAAAATATATATATATATATATATATTCAATGTGTGAATTACCCCCCCCCCATTCCTCCCTAAAAATTTAATCTATGCAACTAATGGTCTACAAACGGTTAAATTTTCAATTTAATTACCGATCGGAAGCCAATTATTGTGTTAATTATTATTATTTCTATCATTACTATATTTATTATCATTTATTTTTAGTTTAACTATTCTAAAAATAATTGCTATTAATCTGTCTTTACAATGCTTTCTTATGTTTATAACTTACATAAAAATCTATCCCCCATTTATTTCTTACCCCCACGATTTCACATATAGCCCCAGTAGAGATGAGGGGGTATTTGTGAGATACAGCAACATATAAAAATGTTAATTTTTAAATTAAAAAAATGTTAATTTTTAAATTAAAAAAATGTTAATTTTTAAATTAAAAAAATGTTAATTTTTAAATTAAAAAAATGTTAATTTTTAAATTAAAAAAATGTTATATGGGGGCTTTATGCGTGACTATACGGTATTTTTATATCTAATATTAAACTTTCAGTATAATCAATTTCATTTAATTTTATCTTTATATTGATACATGTAGCATGTGTACTTACTGTACATATTGTATAGTTAATTAATAACATTGTAAATAGATTTAATACAAAATGTAGTTGTTACTTTATAATTATCCTGGATAATTTACAATTTTATCAATACATTGTATTGAGTATATATATGATTGTTAGTAATATAATCATATAAATCAATGTAGAAAAATTAAACACTAATAAATTAGATAAAATTTTTATCTATTAAAAACTATATATAGTAAATATATAGATATTAGCTATAAATGATGTTATAAACTATATTTTTGAAAACCTAAAATTTTGTATTATATAAAAAATAGATTTATATATAAGTAAGATTTTTCAGTTTTTAAAAATACTTATTACTTAAATGGCAAACACTATTTGTATTTTTTTTAAGCACTTAATTAATTGCATAAAACATGTCATTAGCTTAAAAATGTTAAACTAAATGTATCTAAATAATACAATTTATTTTAATTATAAATTATTTTTCAAATAACATTTTATTTTAAAATTAAAAATTATATTTTTTGTAATTTCAAATTTTATTTATTATTAGGAAAATCAAATGAAATGTGTTTCAGTATAAATTAAATTAACAATAAATAAAATAAACTTTTTTTTAGTAAATATATAATTTATTTTAAAAATTATATAATAATATATAATAGAGTAGTTTTATAGTTAATTAATTAAGATTTTGATTATTATTTAAAACACTATAAAAATACAATTTTTTAGTGCAATTTAACTTGTTGTTTCATAATTTTGTTATAACTGTTGCCTAAAAATAAAATTCAAATTTAATAATTAATAAATATATAGATAAATATTATAACAAATAAGAAAAAATATTTTACCCCAAAACCTGTAGCTTTTGTTGGAAATGATTTAGTATACGACCATTGATTTGATTTATAATCATATATTTCAACCGTTTCTATTAGCAAATAGTCTATAAATTTCAAAAAAAAAAATTATTTATTTATTAATCAAAATATTTTATAGATAGTTATTTCTAAAACTAAATAAAGCTAATTAAAACAACCAAACATAAAAATAAATATAATATTAAATTAATAAACTGGACAAAAAATTTATTTAAAAAAATATCATTTTAGATAAATTAATAATTTTCATAAAAACGTCATAAAAAATTAAATTTAATAATAAAAATTATAATAAAGTAAGTTATTTAGCAAATTATGTTAAAAATAAAATAATATATAAAAAATATATATACCTTTTGTATGTCCACCCAATGCATATAATTTATCATTAAATGCAATCAATTTAAATCCAGATCTTCCTATAAGCATTGATGCTATCAAATAAAAAATAAGTTTAATAATTATACTAATTATTATATAATAATAATAACCAACCAATTTGTGTCCATTGATTTGTTTTCGGGTCATATGTTTCACATGATTTCCGATCACTATTACCCGAACCGCCGCAAACATATATTTTATTCATAAATGATGCTGAACCAAATGCATGTCTTTAATTTTTTTTAAAAAAATATATATAAATAATCAACTAATTTAGTAGTATTTATTTTTAATTGCTGTTTCAACATAAAAAAAACACCAATTAGATTTTATAATAATAACTAAATTAGTAGTATTTATTAAATATTGTTTTTATTTTTAATTGTTGTGATAACTAGTTATTTCGAAAAATAACCAATCTATTTTTTTCCAACAACAAAAATAACCTATTAGATTTTACTATTATAATAATAACTATTTTTTTAATAATCATTATCATAATGTTATTTGATTTAAATTAGAAATCAATATTTCTAAACTAACCTAGTATAACTCATATTAGCCATTGGTTGCCATTGTTGTGTAGTTGTATCCAATCTTTCCATTATATTTGAAGCTAGATTTTCATCATAGCCTCCGATAGCATATATAAACCCATTGTTTGCTACCAGTGCCATACTAGACCTAACCTTATTCAATGGTGTCGTAAAAGACCATTTATCAATATTTGGTAAATAATATTCACATGATTTTAACATATTCCCTGTAAAATAAAAAATCTAATTATTTTTAAAATTAGTATATTTATAAAAAAAAATTAATTAACTAAAGTTATCTAAATACAAATGTTGACTGTTTTTATAATAATATTATAGTTGTTAACTAACTTTTACCTAAATAGCTAAATGTCTATTAATATAGAATAGCTTTTATTTTTTTATCAATATTATTAGTATTACATAAACAAAATCACAATTATTATAATTATAATTAATAAATTAAACATTATTATTTATTAGTTTAGATTTATATTATAAAAAACTAAAATTTTTTTTATCTATTATAAAATAACATCAATTTCTAATTAATTGTGTTTTTTTGTCAATGCCTTTATATTATTTTTGAAATATATAGAAAATATATTATAATTTTACATACATTTAGAAATACAGTATATTACATATATGTTTAGTAAAAATTGAAAATTATTTGAAAGTTTTAGCAAATAACTACTGTATATATATACTGTATATTTATATATAAATATATATTTACACTTACAATCAGAATAGCCGCCGCATACATATATTGTATTATTCAATACAGTTGCATCATGGTGACTTTATAAAAAATATAATTTAATTAATTAATAAAAATTTAATTTAATCAATTAATAAAAATTTAATTTAATCAATAAATAAAAATTTTATAATAATAATAATAATAATAAATTAAAAATATATTAATTAAAAATTTATTAGTTAACTATAACAATAACCTGCGCTTTTCATTCATAGATGCTATCGATTTCCATTGATTTGTTTGCGTATCATATGATTCAACGCTTTTGAAAGAATATCCTTTCTATTAATAATATATGAAATTATATTAATTATACTAAATATTTACTAATAATAATAATTAATTATTTTTTTTTTAAAAAATAAAAAGTTTTTATTACATTATTATACCCTCCGATTGCATAGAATTTTGAGTCCATTGAAACCAAACTAAACACATCTCTACCAATGGACATGGATTGTATGGATTGCCAAACACTTGACTGTTGATTATATTTATAACAATTGGGAAAAACGGTATCCCACAGATCCCATCCCCCGCACATATAGATAAAACCATTGTCCGATAAATCAATTGATTGCTATAATTAAAACAACAAAACAAAAATAATGATTAATTAATATTAAATAGATTTTTTGAATTAATTATTTTTTCAAAAATATATATAATTAAATTGTTACAAACATTATTGTTAATTGTAGTTGTATTTAATGAGTAAATACAATTAAGCACAACAAACAATAAAATGTAATGATTATTTAACATTTTTTAAAAATTAATTATTGTAAATGATTTTTTTGTTATAAATCAAATTTAGTTGAATCTACTTTCTTGTAATTTAATTGTAATAATAATTGTTTTTTGAAATATTCAGTCAATTTTATATAAAAACAACAAAAAAAATATTTCAAAATAATTATAACAAATTTTCAGAATTATTATAAGTACTGATAAATTATTAATAAACTTTATTTATTGATTGTTATTTAAGTAATCATTAATTAATCTTAAAATTTAGTAAATTTAAGTAAGATTTTGTTTCTAACTAAATATATAATAATTATTTTTAAAACTTTTATTTTTTATATAGGTTACAAGTTTTATTACCTATAGTATAAAATAAATATTTATCAATTTTTTGTTATCTATTATTAAACTTAGTGTAATCAATTTCACTTATTGATATCTAAACTTTTGATTATTATTATTTATTGATACCGGTAGCATGTGTACTTAGGATATATTGTATAAATAAAATAAAAAATATAAAAAATTAAATTGAATTTATAATTACCCCTCCTCCCTTAAAAATACAATCTATATCAACTAATGGCCTATAAACCGGCAATTTCCAATTTAACTACCGATCGGAACCTAATAATTGTGTTAATTATTATTATTTCTATCATTACTGTATTTATTATCATTTAATTTTATTTTAATTATTTTTTTTAACAATAATTGCTATTAACCTGTCTTTACAATGGTTTCTGATTTTAATCTTACATATAACCATATCCCCCAATTATTACTCATCCCCACGATTTCACATATAGCCCCAGTAGGTCGGGGGTGGGCTATTTGTAAGATACAAAGATAAAAATTTTTAAAATAAAAAAAATTGTCATTGGGGGAGCTTTATGCGTGACTATACGGTATTTTTATATCTAATATTAAACTTAAACAGTATAATCAATTTCATTTAATGTTATCTATATATATTGATACCGGTAGCATATGTACTTACTATATATATATTGTATAAATAAAATAAAATTTATAGAATATATATATATATATATAATTATAGATTGTAAAGAACACTCAATAATAACATTGTAAATAGATTTTATACAATATGTAGTTGTTACTTTATAATTACCCTGGACAATTTACAATTTTATCTATACATTGTATTGAGTATATGTGTGCTTGTTAGTAATATAATTATATAAATCAATGTAGAAAAATTAATTACTAATAAATTAGATAAACTTTTTTCCAATTTAAAAATATATACAGTATATAATATATATATATATATATTATATTATATTAGCTATAAATTATGTTATAAACTATACTTTTGAAAACCTAAAAGTATTGTATTATATTTAAAAAATAGATTTATAGCTAATTAAAGATTTTTGACATTTTTATGCACTTAATTAAATGTCTAAACATGTCATCTTAAAAATGTTAAGCAAAATAATTTTATAATACAAATTATTTATTTTTTGAAAATTATTTTATTTAAATTTATTTATTTTAGTTATTTTGTAAATATAAAAATATTGATTATCTGTTTAATTTTACTAAATTTGTAAAAAACATATTTTTATATATATAGACTATTGAATAACTAAACATAAAAACTTTACAATAAAATAAAACACATTATTTATTTGATTTTAATAGTAAATTTCAATTTATTTTGTCTGAAAAAAATGTTTTTATATAATTAATTATATTATTATTATTATTATGCTATTTTATGTTATTTTAATAAATAATAATTATTATTTATAAATATATATATTTATTGTTATTTCAAAATATAATATTGAATTATTTATTTGTTTTTATTAAAAATATATTTTGTTTTTTCAAATTAGTGAAATACTGTACTATTATACCTGAATAGATATATAATTATTATTTAGTACCAGTTTATTATAAATTTATTATTGTTATTGTAAACTAAAATTAATTACAACAGTTTAATTAATAGACAGTAAAATAAAATAATTATTATAAAAATTATAGTGTAATATTAAATATATTAATATTATTTTTTAATTAAATTAAGTTTTATTTTTTATGAAAAAAAATATTTTTAATATTATTATTAAATATATGCTATTAGTATTTTAATAGTAAATATTACTACAACTAATATAATATTCAGTAAATAGTATTTATTTAAAAAAAAACATTAGTAAAAATTAAAAACTGGTATTATTAATTAAAGGTAAAAAAATACTATAAAATTTAATTTAATATTTATAGATTTTAGTCTATTTATTTGAAATATAAAAATAACATTTTTTTTGTATTTTTTTTAAATTAGTAAATGTAATCTGGTACTATTAATTAACAATAAATTAAAATGATAAAATTCAATTTAATATTTATAGTTATTTATTCTATTTATTTTTAATATAATAATTATTGTTATTCCACTTTAAAAAAAAGTTAGAAAAGTTAGTAGTTGTTATCAAAACTGTTAAAAATTCTCAAAAAATCTTGGGGGGGGGGGGGGGTATTGGGTGGGGTAAGATTTTTATTGCATTTTTAAACGGCAATTTTTTCAAAAATCCAAAATCAAGGGGGGGGGGGGGGTCTAGAGAAAATTCCCTAAAAATTCCTTAAGTTCCCGAATATTCCCATGTAAATTCAATAAAATTCCCACAAGTTCCCGTATAAATTCCCGGGAAAATAGGTAAAATTTCCAAAAATATAAAAAAAACTTAAAAAACTTAAAAATTAACAAAAATTTAAATTTTAACAAAAAATAAATATTTTTTAAAAAAATTTTTTAAAATTAATAAAAACTTAAATTTTAACAAAAAAAATAAAATAAAATATTTAAGATTTAAAAATAGTTGATAAAAGCATTAATGATACACTATGAGTTATTTTTAGTATTTTAATAATTTTTAACTTTTAACATAATTAATTTTTTAAACAATACTTAATGTTTATAGTTTGTTATATATTTTTATTTTTATACAAATACTGACTGAATACTACTTATTTAACTCAAATTTCGTTAAAGTTTAATTATATTAAGTACAAAATTGAAAATATTTTTAAATTTTTTATTTAAAATTTAAAAATTATTAATAAAAACATAAGTATTTATTGTTTTATTAACTTCTTAAACTTATATTTAAATTGTAATATGATTACTCTTTTCAACAAATAGGTAATTTTTAATTTTTTAGTTTATTTTAATTAAAATAATGTTATTTTTTGATGACTTTTAACGTTATTTTAACTATTTTTAATCAATAATTAGATTTTTATAAATATTAAAAACATAAAAACACTTACTAAAATAGTATCAACTAAAATTAAAATTTTTATAAATTTCAAAAAAATTTTCGGCGCCTTCGGCGCCGAAATTTTAGGGGGGGGGGGGTCATTTCTCCTCGTTTTTAAGCGACAATTTTTTTAATTTGGTCAAAAAGTCTGGGGGGGGTAAAATCCCAATTTCTCGATCTTAGGGGGGTATTTTGGCCTTACCCCCCCCCTACCCCCCCTTTCTTAACCCTGATATATATAGTATATATATGTATATAATAATAATAATTAGTACCACTTTATAATAGTATTATTTTGTATACATTAATATAGTATGATATTTTCTACAGTTGTTTTGTTTGTTTGTTTTTTTTATTTTAATTTATGATGTTTTATTTATTTGATAGACACAAAATTATAATAACTATAATAGTATAATTATTAATATATATATTATTGTTTATAATGTCTTTTATTAAATAAAATTTTTATTTATAATGCAAAAAAAATATTTATAATATTTCTATTAAATTTTAACGATTAATATTTTAGTAGAATATGTTAATACAAATAATGTAATATTCAGAAAATATTATTATTATTTTTTTTAAAAAAAACTATAGTAACTAACTGGTACTATTAATTTAAGATAAATTAAAATAAAAATTCAATTTAATATTTATTGATTTTTTATTGTCTATTTATTTGTAATATACAGTAATAATTTTTGTTATTGCACTTTTAAAAAAAGTTAGTAGTTGTTATCAAATCTGTTAAAAATTATCAAAATAAATATTATCTGTATTTTTTGTTTTGTAGAAATTATCTATTTTTGTTGTAAATAATAATGATTGAAAAATTGGCACCAAATTTTCTATGTGATTTTACTATGGCTACTGAAACTGAGCCGTATACATTTGATCTACCAATTGATCATGGTCAACTATTAGGAAATTTTACGTTCACTACCGCATTATTTGTAAACTTTTAATTACATTTATATATGTTATTTAATTATATATTATTAAACAAAATTGACATAATTAAAAACTAGTTTAACTAATTAAAAATAATATTATATATATATATATAATTTAATTGATAATTTATTTAAATAAATGTATATATATATATTTATAAATTAATATATTTTTTAATTTTTTTAATATTTAGACTATTGACAATGAGTATAAGTATTTGTGTGCCCACGAATTTCAACTTTTATACAAATTAATTAGTCGATCAAAATATGGGTAATAATAATAACAATATAATTTTTAAAAAAATATTTTAAATTTTAAATTTTTATAAATTATATAATTTAATAATATTTATTAATTAACAACAAAAAAATAAATAAAAAAAATTCAAGTGCTATTCCTATAATAAAAGATGAAAATTTTACGGTATGTAAATTATTTTTAAAATAATAATTAACAAAATTAACAAAATACTTAATATGTTATAATAAACATAAATACTTATAATTAATTTTTTTAAATATTATTTAATTAAAATATACAGCTTGATCAAGTTGATTTAGTTTTACATAATATCAAATTGACGGAAAACCATATTGATAATTATTCAATAATATGGCCACAAAGTTATTATTCGACATCAATTATTGGCAGCACTTATCCGACAATAGATAGCAATAAATTTTACGGAATCATGCACATTTTTGATATCTATGTATATTTAATACATAGATGATTATTGAAAATTTCAAAAAAAAACATTTTTAAATATAATTATATGCTTTCTATTTATTATTATTAT